ATTATTATCATTAATAATTTTCGATAATCTTGAATTTCTAAATGATATAATCCTCAAATACATATTATTTTATCATTTATCAAATGAATGACATTCAAATGTAATCATTCATTACATCATTTTGTATAATTAAATGAACTTGACAATTACACTAGCTATATGTAATAAATGAATGAATCAAATTAATTCATTATTAATTGATTAATTAATATGAATGATTTATCTTTATCTATCGATTTTCGATTTTGAACATTTTTCATTTCTTTTTCTCTTTTTTGGAAATGCATTATACAGTTACAAATGTGAATAATAGTCATTTTTGGTGGTGGTCATGAATTTTGATATTCAAATTAATAAAATTAAATTACACATTGAATATTTCAGCATCAATCTTTCATGAATTTCCATTATGATTTCGTTCTTATATTGCATATTCATAGATGTATTTTAAAAAAAAGAAAAAGCTAAGAGGTCAAAAAAGTTATTTCTCTCATCCTAATGAAATTATCGAGATGAAATTTCATCGCAAGAAAATTTCTCTTTTAAAAATGATATATTTAGAAAATGGACGAAAAGCATAGATTTTCAAGGTTAGTGGAAAATAAGGAATATATGATGATTCACACATCGTAATATTAAAATTATTTTTGTAGTTGTGATCAATTGCGGCTTTTCCTAAAAAAAAAAAAACGTAGCAATGAAAAATTTACACTTCCAAGGTTAAACCATTAATTGAAGAGTGGTTAAGCTATAATTGCTTTTATTACAGTTCAAAAAGTAGAACTAAAATAATTTATGTATCATTTTGTATAACTTTTTTTTTAACACTTCCAACTTGTTATAATTCAGGTTTGCTATTTCTAATAATACAATTCATTGAACGGTCGCAACCAGAATATTAAATCAAAATGGAGGTGATCAAAAAAAAATTTATATATAAACGATTTGTACAAAAGCGCATTTGTCCTAATCTAACATTTCATTCCCTAAAACTGTCGATTTAATGCGATTATGTCATTTGAACATTGCTTTCATTTGATTGTAATGGTATTAAAACTTAAGAAATGTATCATATAAATAGCTTAATGAACGTATATCATCGAGAAATCAGAGATATACAGATGTTACGGAATCTTGTTTGAATCTTGTTCATTTCTCTTTTCAATTCTTTTAATTTTGAATGAAAACTCATTTAAATCACATTGATAATTTTGCTGAAATGCACAAAATATTTCTGTATTCGTGTCATTATGCTCAAAAAAATTGAAAATTAAAAAAAAAAAAACAAAATTACAGAAATGATCTCAATAAAATTTTCAAATGATGCCATCATTGATTTCATTAAATTTACCAATTAAATGTTTAACACTAAAAAGATTTAATATATTTCTTCAGAAATGTATTAAATAAATAAAAAGCAAAGAAAAAAAAGAATTTTTTTCTCTTATCCTTTTATAATTTTGTTCATTCAACTATAAATTTATCTATGATCGTTTAATTAAAAACTGTTAAACTGTTGGATGATGATTGGAAGATATTTCAATCATTCAAATATAATCGTTTTTTTTTTTTTATTAATTTTGTCAAATTTTTGTATTTTAACTTTAATCTTTAAATTTGATCAAACTTTCGGCAATGCTTTATAATTAAAATTAATTAATTAACTAATTTTTAATGCTTTATAATTAAAATTAATTAATTAACTAATCAGTATTTCATTAACTATTCGCACAGGATGGAAAACATACAAATGATGTTTATTTTTTGTCTATCTAATAGTATTTTGTTCATTATTGCATTCTTTTATTCAATTTTTTTTTTTTTTTTTTTTGCAATAATCACTAATTTCAATCGCTAATTTCAATTTAATGAAACAAGCAAACAGGTTTCAAGAAAAAAAAAAGAGGAATGAGCAAATAGTTGTAAAAAGAAATGAATTTTGCGCAAAAATATCATACATGGAAAATTTCCTGTATGTTAACTTTAAATCATTTTAATGTTTCTAATTTAAAATATTTGAAAATTGATGAAATCAAAAATTAGCATTAATTTTTTTCAACAAGAATTATTTCTATCTTTTTAAATATCAAAGAATTATTGTGAATTTCTTCATTTCATTCCTTTCATTTTCCTTCTATCATCTTTGATCGCATTGTTAGTGTTATTAATATTTTGGAAAAAAATTTGGATAAAAATTCTATAAATAATATTTATTAAAAAAATTTATGCTTCTTTTTTTATTTCAAAAGTTAATGAAAAGAAGTAAAAAAAATAAAAACAACCAAAAACGATGTAATTAGTAGCACTATTGTTTGTTTCAATTTATTATAATTATGTAGCATATTTGAGTTTTTTTAAATTTTTTATGCATTCAATGAACTTTTGCATATTTATTCTATGTGCCATTTGTAAAATTAAATTATCAATTAAATGATAAATAAACTTAATTAAAATAAAGTATATTTTTCATATGAATAGTAGCACTGTTGTTTGTTTTAATTTCTTTTCTCAATTTCTTTAAATTCATTTAAAACCTTTGCCATTCGTTTCAAATACCATAAAAGGTAGTTTTTTTTTTTTTTTTTTTTTCGAAAAATGGCTTTTGAATGAATTTAAACAAAAGCTTTTTTAAGAATTAGTTTATAAAGAAAAGAAAAAGAATTATTAGCTTCTATCAATAAATAATAATAAATACTTGAAAATTCTGAAGTTTTTAAAGAGACAATTGGCAATAAATTAGCGCAAATGGTTCGATAATGATACGTACATAAAATCTTTTACTTTTCCATCTTTTTATTTATTTTTAATTTAATTTATTTGATTAGAATTTTTGTGAAACAATGAAGCATTCGTTAAATGTGGAAATATTAGTACAATAATCAGAAATACTAATAATTATTGTTTTAGTAAAAATAAAACTGACTGTTTACTTTATATTTGTCAATCATTTGATTAATCCAAAAATAATTAAATAATTAAAATAAAATAAATAATTAATTTTATTGGTTTCTGTCGTATATTTAAGAAACATTTATTTTCATATCTAATCTATTCTATCAGTAATCCATAACTATTGTTCAATTTTTTTTTCTAAATTTTGAATTATTAAAAACTTTTTAATTATACCACGTTTATCAAAATATGAATAACACTTCAAAAAAGTTAAAATTTTGATAGATTTTTCAAAACTAATTTATTTTTTTTCCTATTAATATATTTTTCAGTTTCTGAATTACCAAAAAACTTTTTAGATATAACAAATTTATGAAATTTTTTTATAGCGTTTCAAATATGCTCAAAATTTGGCAAATTTTTCAAATTGTGCTTAAAAAAACTAGATGCAATATCAAATTATGACATCGCATTATAAAAATATATCTTGCAGAACATACAAAATTTCATTCTTTCAATCTAAAGATTTTCAATTCAATTAATTTTTCTTTCTAAAAAAAAACTTATTTTCAATTTTGAATATTTTATTTTTTTATAAAAAAAAAGGCATAAAATACGATTTAATGTATCTTTTTAATATTACAGTTAATATTTCTAAAATTTTATTACCATTAGTCATTAGTTATTTCCATTTCAATTTCAACATTAATTTTAACACTAATTGAATTATTAATTCCTATTATGGTATTTAAATTAATTTAAAATCGAATTGATAGATGAAAGAGTATAAAATTTTCTTTTTTTTCAGGTTAATAATGTAATTAATAATTAAGTTTCAAATACATAAGAAAATTTTCAATTTTAATTATAATAAATGCTAAAACCTCGACAACTTTTCCCTTTTTTTCCAATTATTAATTGCATCGTTTAAAAAATAAACGAATAAAATTGTTCTTAAAACAGTTTTTTTTTTTTCTTTTCTGTAATTATAATAATGTAATTAGCAATTAATTTTCGAACAATAAAAACAGTTTATTAGTTTTTTTTTTTTTTTTTTTTTAGGTTTTTAGTACTAAAATTTCTAATATTTCCTTTTACGATTACTTCCTCTTTCGCTAAAATGAAACAAAAAAAAAAAAGAAAATTCCTTCAAAACTTGTTGTCTTCTAACTTTTCTTTCCTTTTTTTTATTAAAAAAAGTTTTTTTTTTTTTTTACAAAAAATGTTAAAACTACTATCAATATATTAATCAAATAATTCTCAAAATTTTTCTTATCGTAAAATCTGCATGTTATTTTCATTTTCTTTTTTATTTTAATTTGCCAGTCTTTTTTTATGGTGATAAATTTCCAAAAAATTTTAAACAGCCTCGTTTTATCATCTTATCTGATGTATTAATTGATAAGAAATGATAATTGAATTTGCTGTAAAAGTTTTGCAACCATAAGAATTAGATTAAATCATTCGATTTAATTAATGATCAATTTATCCACCAAAATTTCTTTTTTCTCTTTTTGATTTTTCTTTTTTAATTTAGATAATAATTTTTAGCAAGTAGAAAACTTTTTTTAAATAGCTACAACTTATCTGAAATTATAGTTATAAAATATCAAATTTGCTAAAACTTCAAATAGTTTCTCATCTGAATAATCAAAAACTGTTAAAGTTTTAAACTGCAAAAAGGGGGAACATTTGCGCCCAATGCTAATTCTATTATTTGATCTTTGTTTGATTCATTTTAAACTTTTATGATCATTTTACTTTGCTTTTTTCTCCTTTCTTTCCTATTAGGAAATTATATATACATATGCAATTATTTCTTATACTGAAGCAATTTAATGATATGATAATTGATAAGAGCTAAGAAGATATTAATTAGCATATTTCGGGCGCTAATATTTTTTTTTCTGATGCTAATAAGAAAGAATAAGATAAAAAAAAATGTTTAAATTAAGCAATATAAAATAAAGCAAAAATGCTAATATTTGAAACTATGTTAACCGATTATCTTGCTTATCACTTATCATTTCTTATTATCATCATTTGATCCTATTTTTTGTTATCAGTAATGATTAGTTACAAATTTTAAGAAAATACTTTCACTGCAAATGCCATATTTTTGGTGTTTATTTTGGTTTGGATTATTAACTATTTCACAGCCATATTCAATTCATAATTTTATCATTCATGAAACACGTTCCGGAACTTTACTTGAAGTATGTTTATCACATTATATTACACAGTAGCTTTCCTGATTTCATATACTGATTTCATATTAATCAAAAAATAGTTCAAAGTTCAATTTTTTTGAGAAGGATCAAAAGTTTCAAATTTTCATTGTTGATTTTTCCTTTTTAATCCAAACTAATTGACTTTCTTTTTTTTTGTTACACGGCAAAAAGAGAAATTATTGTAAATTAAATTGATACTTTTTACATGAAAGACAAAATTGTCTTATTTTTATTTACTTCAACACATTCCTGTTTTCCTGAAAAAACTGAAAGACACCGAATTTAACTGGATTTAAACAATAATATCGGTCTAAAAACTGATATTTACCAAATTATTAATTCATAACAAAAGTAAATTATTTTAAATTTATAGAAAAAATTTCGTTGTTTGTTTTTTGTTTTTTTAATTCAAATTAAATTTATAGTTTGTTCGGCTTAACAATGCGACAATTTACAATGACATCACAAATGCAACATCATCAGTTACCGTAATACTGCTTACCAATAATCCATCTCAAAATTTTGTTCAACTTAAATCTCTCTTACCTGCTAAGGTATGTTTTATTTTCACTAAAATAAACTGCAATAACCATATGTCTTTTTCTTTTCAAAATTTGAATTTTGTAAAATTTATGATTTGATAAATTTAATTTTTTCATTCATTCTGGAGCAAAATAAATTTTTTTAAGTTTGAAATAAGATAGTTTGTGTTATATGTTTTATTACAATTTTAATATGAAGCAGAAAAATATTTTAATATATTTTTAAAGTATGAAAAGGATGAAATAAAAAACGGAAATAAAAAAATAAATTACAGGTAAAGTATATTAATGATCGAAGAACAGCACGTGAAGTGAAAACAGCGCAAGTTCACGTTCTCATACAACCAACACATTCTACCACATTACCTGGCTTCATCAAATTTATGACACCGATTAAAAAAGTAAGTTATTTTCAATCATTTCTAATTTATTAAACTTTATATTGCATTGTAATTGTTTGCTAAATTTGAATTGTAAAAATTTAAGAATTGAATTTAGATGAATTCAAGTGATATAGTAAAATTTGTTATGCTTTCGATGGAAATTGAAAAATTCATCATATCACCAAATATTGATAAAATACTTTGCTTCCCGAATCAACAAGTGATACTTATGAATACCATGTTAGGTTAGAAATTTAAAAAAAAATCTTTTTTAATGCAATCAATTAATAAAACAAAATGAATGATAATCCTGGTAGTGTATATAAAAATAGTAATTTAATAATAAACAGTAATAATAATATAAAAATATTATCGTTGTAAAATCATACAACAATGCTATAAATTTCTGGAATTAATAAAAGTTATATAAACAAAAATTGTAATTGTCATAGCTTTTTAAATTTTTTTCTTTTTTAACTTTTTATAAAATTATTAATAAACTGATAACATTAATATTAAATGAATAATGAAAATGCATCATTAATAATTTCTTTCCTTTTCTTTTCTTAAAGGCAATTATCAATCGTTTACGATGTATGTGGCAAATTGGAATGAATCTAAAAATGTTGAAAATTTAATCAATGAATTAAATGATAAGCATGGAAATAACACTGATAATAATGGCATAACACGAATGGTCGCCAAAGAATTGCTAAATCCAATTCGTTGTGATTTATTATTCCATGGTGTTATCAATATTGATGTTTAATTTTATTTACCTATGATTTTAATCTTATTCATTGAGCAAAAAAGTAAATGAATATAAGAAAAATATGTTGTTGCATACAAAAATATAACGTAAAGCAAAAATAAAAGAAACTACATTTAAACTAAATTTAAATTTGAGACAAATTATCTCAATTAAAATTAAATTCTTCATAAAGCTAATAGATAAAATAAATAACAAAAAAAAAAATTAAGTTTGCTACTTATTGACATTTCATTGTAATATATTTTTAATGGAAAATTTTTAAAAAAGTTTGAAAAAAAATTGAACAAATTTTATTTCAAATGAAAAGAAAAAAGCACAATTTATTAAAAATATGTCACACACATACATTAGAAAAAAACAAATAATTGAAAATAATAATATAAATATCATCAAAGTGTTTAAAAAGGAAAAAAAAAATGCATCAAAAACACTGAAATTACAGAACGTTATCAAATTTTAATTTAATTATTGAATTTCAAATTAAACTTCAATTCATACCAAATATTTCACTATCAAATTTTAATTTTATCATTTCTTGCAAATGTACCAAAAGTAGCACTGCTATTGATTAATTACAATGATAAAATGTTATACGTAAAATTCAAAAACTAAAAAAAAAAAAGATGGAAGACTAGATGAAATTATCGTCTCGTATGTCGTTTATCTCTGTGTATGTATATACTTGTTTAGATATTTTCTACTACTTTTTCATTTTAAAAAATTAGTTTAATTTTAACTTAAAGACCAGTGTATTACAAAAAATAATTATTATTTCGAGATTCAAAAACAAATGCGATGAAAATTAAAATTAAAACAAATATTATTTCTTTCCAAATTTTTCAAAAATTGCAAAAAAAACTAAAAATTTTAATCATATGAGTAATAATTACTTTAAATTATTACATTGGCAAGTAAGATAATTGAGAGAGAAAGAGAAGGAAAAGAAAGAGAGAGAAAGAGAGGGAGAGAAAAAGAAAGAGAAAGAAGAATGTATTTATTATTTACACACAAAATTTAAAATCAAATATTATTTTTCTTTTCGTTTAAAAAAAAAAAAAAAAAAAAACATGAACTATAATGGATTCTTGAGCGTTGTTGCCAAATTCAATCCCGTTACCATAGCTGCTGCATCGCTAACATTCTGGAAAGGATTTTGCGGTATATTTGCAGCACCAGTACCGCCACCTAATGCAAATAGTACACCCTGATACATGGTACCATTAATTTCCATTGATACTACCAAAGAATTTTCTGAAATTAAAGTTAAAAGTAAACAAATCATATTACATTAGATAATACGAATAAAACAAATTAGACAATAATAATAATAAAGCGATAAAAATTTCACTTATTTATTTTACCTATTTTCTTTTTTTTGTTCTCTTTTATGCTAATTTCAAATTGGCTAAAGAAAGTGGTAATAATAATTGATTAGTAATTATTGATGAAAAAAGGAAATTATAATATTAATGATTGCTAATAATAGTAGTGTTGATACTGATAAGAATGATAATAGTAGTAAAAATAATATTTTTCATTTAGCTATTCAATTCGATAATTAAAGAAATAAAAAAAATTGGTTCATTCTACCTCCTCGACTAGTAATTTTAAGATGCGCTGATGGAATACTACCAAATAAGCGTTCCGTAGCCAAATTAGCCAACAAATTATTGCTTAGGCCATTTTCATCATTTAAAGCTGCCGCAGCAACAGCGGCCACAGCAGCGGCATTAGTGGTATCAGCGGTACCAGTAATTGAGGAATATGTTCGAGCTCGTTTCGCCGGTGCGGCACCATCCGAATCAGCAGATGAGGTTGATTCACGTCCTGACATATGCGAATGATGACCACTACCACTACCACCATCGCCAACACAATTACCGCCACCACTGCCATTACCGCCACCACCACTATTGCTACTATTATTGCTATTACTGCTATTTATGTTGTTGTTTTTGCTACGTGTATGAGCTGAATGTCGAGTTACTGCTTCTACCGCTGCTCTGGAAGTTTTTTTTCTTATTAAAAAGCATTTTTTCATTTATCTTTTTTTTTGAAGTAAAATCAAATAATATTTGAATTAATAATTTTGGAATCATAAAACTATGACAGTAACTAATAACAAAAATGGTTTAAATTTTAACTCAAATTTTAATTATATATATTTCTTTATCATCATCAATATTAATTTTTCCTCTAATAATTTTATTAATAATATGCCTTTGTGCTCGTTCAAATTGCCTTTGCTGTGCTTCCAGAACAGCTAATTGTTCCACATGATAAGCTGCTACTAAAGCGGCTTGTTGCGAAGCTGGACCTAAACCAGCATCATCATCTAAGCCTAAAAATTATTGCAAATTTCTAAATTTAATTTATTTTTCTTATTGCTCACCAATTTACTAATTAGCAATAATCTTTCATTCAAAATATTTCTTTCCTCCTTTCTTTTGTTTTTTTCTTTTTTTGAAATGAATTATACTAAATATACTATTATTTATTGAACACAAAAAAATATCACTGCTTATTTACCATTTCGAAGGTTTAAAGTACCATTGAGGTGTTTATTAAGTAATGCAGTTGAGTTATGATGTGCTGCAGCAGCGGCAGCAGTTGCGGCAACCGAATATCCAACTTGCGGATAATTCGCAGAACCGGTTGATGCATTACGTCTTCCTTCACGTCGATTTCCGTCAATCGCTTGCTGTAAATCGGATGCCGTACTGAGACCTTCCTTTTCACATTCATAATCATATAGATACTTTTGATATCTAAAATATTTTTTGTGATAATAAAATATTAAAACTATTAATCATTTATATACAATTATAAAATATATTTATTAAAAAAAAAATAAATTTAAAGGTTAAAAAAAAATTCATAAAATCAGTAAATTTATTTTTTAAAACTTTTAAGATGTTTTCAAATAAGCATTTAGTGAAAAATCTTCATAACTAATTTTTAAAGATCTTTTCTTTTTTCATTTAAAAAAAAAGAAAACTATTAAGTATATTAGAAAAGCATATATTTATTTATATACAACTGTTTTAAGAAATATCACCACAAATTAATTGTTCCATTATTAAACAAAAAGAAATATTCATTTTCATTCTTTTTCAAATATATTATTTTTTATCTTTTTTCTTTTTCACTCCGTCTCTCTCTCTCTCTCTCTCTCTCTCTTCCATTTCATTTAAATTACATTTAAATCACTCATTGTAAATGAACAAAATTTTTGTCAAAAGATGATGGGCACAAAAAAATCTTGTGAAAGATTCGTCTGTTATTTGTTGGATTGATTCTGAAATTGTCGTAATAAAACAGCTGGTTTCATCATCTTTGCAAAAACTTTAAAACATACGCTAAAAATTTGAAAGAAGCGCAAACAAAAAAAAAAAAATTTTTGTAAAAATTTTTTAAAAATTTTTGAAATAAAAACCTGTTTTAAAGTTCATTTTATTTTTTCTCATAATACTTCTTCATCTGATTTTATGTTGCCAATCAATGTATATAAGCTTTTAAAAAAATTAAAAAAAAAGAAGAAATTTCTCGTTTCTTTTTGCTCTTTCTTTATTTCCTTTTTCTTTCTCTCTCTCCCTTCCATTCTTTCTCCCTCTCTCTTTTTTCTTCTTGTTTTTACCCTTTTCAATACTATGTCATTTTAAGAGAAAAACAGAGAGAGAGAGAGAGAAAAAAAAGAATAAAAAGAAAAACTTTCGAGAAAGAAAAAAAAAAAAACATTCATAAAATTTTAAACAGAAAAGATAAAGCATAAAAAAAGGCGCAAAAGTTTATCATCGCATTCGTTGCATTATAACAAGCAATGAATGCTTGATGAAATATTTTATCAAAAACAAAAAGAAAAAAAAGAAAAGAAAATAAAAAAGCAAAAAGAAAAAGTTTTCACAAATTTTTTTGACGAAAAGAAAAAATTTGAAAAGTGAAATTTGATCCAATGATCGCATTATGATAAAAAATTTTTCTAATAGCAAAAACAAAAACAAAAATTTTCATTCAATCATTGTAAAATGAAATGTGTTTATTAAGTAAATTTGTTAAGCATAAAATTATTAGTTCAAATGACAAAATATTTACAAACGATTAATTTTTGTAATAAAAAAATTTTTTTTTCTGCCTTTTATTTCAATTATAAAATATCATTTAAAATTGGAATGAAATGCATCATTATTAGTATGCAAATTTCATTTTTTAAAAAAGTTATTATTAGTGTTAGTGTAATTTTTAGTTTAATTTAATTGCGTGCAAAAGTGATAGCGAAGAGTTAGCATTAATTTAAATCTAAAATAAATTATAATTGTAAAAGTATAAAACACACATACATAAATAAAAAAGAAGAAAAGATGACAAATAAATTTTATTCAATTATATCTTATAAAATTTCTGTGCTAAGTTGAATTTTATGTTTATTGAATTTTAATTAATTAATTAATGAAAAGCAAATATTTCAATGTAAATTGTGTCATAGAGATAAAGTGTGAATTTCAAAATATTAAATATTTTCATAACTTTTACTCGATTAGAAATGTATTTTGATTAATTAATTATTTGTTAAAACTAATTGAAAAAACTAATTGAAAATTAGATTTAATAAATAAATGAATAAATAATAATAAAATAATAACAAAATCAATAATTTAATAAACTATTATTAATATATATGGATTGTTTTTTTTTTCTTTAATCTTACGATTTTATCATTTTTTAGGAGTTCCTCTTTTATAAAATTTACCAAACTTACGACAACATATTGTTTCAATTATCAATTTTATATCATCGTCTATATTTTGCGGGAATGTATTTTATAGACAAAGAGTGAAAGAGAGAGAGGGAGAGGTAGAGAGAAAAAAAGAAAAAAAAAACTGAAAAATATTTTCCAAATTAGTGAAAATCACATAATTTTTATAACATCTGGTATTTGAGCATTTCCTCTTTTTTTTTCTTTATTTAAGATTCAATTCCGATAAATAAATCTCATTAGACTTCGTGTAAATCATTTTATTTTACTAATTTCAAAATTTAATTCAATTTTACAATCTGTTTTTAATGAGATTTTTTACACAGTTAAAATTAAATTTCAAGTTTAAATCTGAGAACATATATTGTGCTAAAATAATTACCATTGTGTATTTTTCAATATTTAACTACTCAACTATTTGTTTTTTCTACTATCCAACCATTATTGAATATATGTAATCTAAACCTGAAATTAAATAAGTTGTATGAAAATTTAAATAATGGAATTTGTTCTACTATTAGTTGTTTTATATCTTTAAATTTTTATTTTTTTTCAACAAAATACTCAGAGTTTTTTTTAAAATTAATTCAGTTTAAGCATAATTCAGCTAAAATGATTATTAGTTAGCATTACAGTATGACAGACATTCAAAAAAAAAATCTGAAAGATTTGAAATAAGCCAAAAGAAAAAGTAAAATAAGAAAGTGAAATGAATGTGATAGCTTTACTAGTAGTAGTAGTAGGACAGATTAATAAAACGAGCTTAGTTGGCCAAATATTATGGGTCTCTTTTATATGCCCAGTTGCATGGCACTTATTGAACGTAATTATTTCATATAAATGATACCATATAATTCTAATATAATTACTGCTCTTAACTTAGAATCATAAAGTAATGAAATTAAAATTCGAAGGGTAAAGAATGTTATTATTGACAAGTTAATTGTTCATATTTTAAATTTCATAAATAAATTATACTCAATCGATTTAATATCGTCCCAAAATGTAAACGCTTCAATTTTTCAGTCTAATTTAATCTAATTCATTTTCATTTCCTATCAAATCTCTCTTCTCAACTATCAATTTGTATAAATTTAGTACTTAAAATATATCAATCGATCAATCGATCAATCAGTCAACTAATCGATTGATCGATCTATATTCTTTAATCATTTCTGTTTTGCTTGAATTGCATTCGTTCTCTGCTCAATTTATACATTAATGTAAATCAATCAAAATTCAACAAAATTTACATTTCTTATTTCTAAGTCTTTCCATTCTCTGTCAAACTTAACTGACTGACTCATTCCTACTTTTTTCATTGAAATTCTCAATCATTTCATATCTTCCCGCTCTTTTATCTCTCTCATTTCATTATAATAAAGTCAATTTTAAAACAACATTTAATTAATTGCTCTGAAAAGTTTTTAGCCACTAATTGACATTTTAAAATAGTTTCGAATGAATTCATACCAATAGAATTAATGAACAATTAGAATTTTGCTAAAGTTGAAAGGAACGAAAAAAGAAAGGAAAAAAAAAATAGTTTAACAGATTTTTTTCTTTGATTTATTGGAATAATAAAGTTTTAAATCCAATAATCTAAAATAAAAATAACAATTTGATTAAATATTTTTAAATGCTAACTTTAAATGTTTTTTTTAATAATAATCTAATCCTTAATTACCTGATATATTAATTAATTGAATTAAATATATTTACTGATAAGAATATTTTCAACAATATAATTTTGACAGTGCTAACCACAAGCTGTTTTCGTTTAATTAATAATGAAAAAAAAAAGGAGGAAAAGAGAAAATGTTTAATGATATACTGTTAACAGTTGGAATTTACTGATTGACTAATTGATCAAATCTTCAGGTATCAAATTTTTCTTAAATTGCAACAGATTGGAAAAATTTAAAAAGAGAGAAAAGCCGAATGTTAGAAAAGAATTACATTTCATCATGATGGATAAGCTTTCCTATAAAATTGTTTCATTCAATTTCATGCTAATTATTAATTATCTTAAAATTTCACAAATGCACAACTTACTGTGTTCTTAGTGTAAATGCAGCAGACGTAATTGATGACGGCAAATTTAATCCACGTGTTATTTCACGCCATAATTTTTTGTTGATAATTTCAACTAAACCACCGTGTTGTACAACCAATCGATAAAGCTCATATAAGTCTAAGACTTGTTTAGCCATAATCGGTATTCGAGTAACCGGTTTTCCTGAAAATTTTTCCATTTCTTTTTAATGATAATAACAATTATAATGGTGATAATGATGATGATAATACTTGAAATGAAATGGGCTGATATATTTTAGAAAATTAGTTTCATTTATATTTTAAAGTTTCTGCAGATTAAATTCATTTATTATTGCAATTTTATGTTTAATTTCATTTATATTAATTTTCATAAAATTTTGGCTTATTAGTTAATTTAATTATCAAATTGCATGAGTCATACAATTTATTTTTTTAATACTTATCGCTTCATATTCAAATAGCCAACAAATGTGAAAGAACAAAAGAGTGGAAAGCGAAATGAAATTTAAAAAACTCTATGAAACATTTTCTAACGTTGTCATTCTTGATAAATTTACGGTTTCAAATTTGAAATTTTCAATCAATCATGATAACTGATCAATAATTTTTCTAGTTACAATAAATTATCATTTGTCAGCTTATGTTTAATCGTGATTGATTCATATTTTACGAGAAGTCTATTTATTTTCTCTCAAAATATGCTAAATTTCATGAAATTTTCAAAATCTTTAATCGCAAATTTCGTATTAAAATAATATTATTTTTAATAATAAAATTTCAAAATTTTCTAATAGCTATGACATGATATTCATTTGAGTTAATTGGAATTCGTATCAGCATATCACAAATATATTCATCGTTTTATTTTAGTCTAATAAAAACGCAAAAGTTTCATTTATTGAATTCCGTGTCGAATTAAAATCATAGAAACCTTATTTTCTTTATTCCCTTTTCTGTGTATATTGTGAATTTTTTAAAATCTCTTATATTTAAGAATTAAAAAAAATGAATTTATTTTAATCCATTAATGGCTTGTTATTCTCAAATATGCACATCAGAAAACTTTATATTGAAATTAATTATCAATTTATTCATATCATCCTCTTTCTCCTGCATACAGTAGCAAGAATGTAATAGTTAATGAAAATCACTATATTTATCACTATCAAAATTAAGATGTAGGTTATTTTGATAAGAGCAAGTAGCTACTGATGATAAGCAGAATGGCAAGTTTTAATGATCAGTAGTCAGTAGCAGCAGTTTCGATCCGATAATACTGATAATGTTGATATGATCATAATAATAATCAAAAAAATCAGGAAATGACAAAACAAATTAGCAAGGATAGTAACTGGGAAAGAGTGAAATAAATTGAGAAGAAGCAGAGCAAGTTTTAAAAAATTGAAATGAAAATTATGATTTCCATCTTAATGATAACTGATTATCAGTAGCTTTCATTTTCAATTTTCATCCTAGAGATATTCTTTATCATACATTATCATAACATTCAGAGATTCAAAGAGAAATAATCTATTCATAGATTAGCCGGTGGCAGATGTAAAGGAAGTATGTTGCGGAACGGTAGAAAAATTAAGGACGCTTGTTGCGGAATGGAAAGAAAATGAAACAAGTGAATAAGCAATTATTTATTAGCTTATTTCATATACTATTAGCATGAAATAATCTGCCAATTGTTTATCATTTACTTTCTTTGTTTATTTATTTTTTCTCCTTTTATTCATTCAAACACAATAATTAAATTAATTGTATTTTTCTTAAATTAATATAAAATTAAATTAAAAACTACAGACAAAATTTTAAAGAAAAATTTCTTTTTTTTTCCAATTATTTATTCAAAAAAAGAAAGAATTAAATACTTCGTGCGTATTTTACTTTATTTTTCACGAATTTTAACTTTCTTTGTCAAAAATTCATACAATTTTGATATGCATGAAATTAGTCGTTAGTCAATAAAAAAAAGATTTTTTGAAGAGTTCTTGAATAAATTCGTAAAGTGGGATAAATTTCATGCTTAAGAATATTTTATTTCACCTTATTTTAATGCATCTCTCTAATTCTCTAACTGAAATAAGATGGATAAAATTGAACAAAATATGATAGAAATCAAAAGCCAAGAATTAGCATTTGAAAAACGAACGAATTGCGTCTAAAATTTGAAGCACTCATTTATTTATACATTTTTCAAGAATTTACCATAGAAAAAAGAAAAGAAAGGGAAGAAAAAGCCATCAATTATTAATCATTATCAATGCTAACTAAGCTAATGAATGAATGCATCGTGAAAAAGTCACATCGAATTCATTCAACCATAAATGTTCTTTTAGAATTCGTTATTCGATACAAATTTTTTAAATATGCGAAAGTAATAATAGTAGTACTAATAGTGATAATTATAGTAGTAATAATAATATACGCAAAAAGAAGATAAACATATTTATGATAAAATTACATTTATTCATGCATATTAAATTCATAAAATAAGAAGCAAAAGTTATCCCACATAAAAAAATGCATTAAAAAAAGAAAATTATTAAAATTTTGATATGATCAAATTGAATTTGTTTTATTTTTTCTGTTATAGCACAAATATTGTAAATTTAGAAAATTCTAAATTTATTTCAAAAAAAATGAAAAAAAAATTTTTTTTTTTCTTTCAATTTATTTTGTAATAAATGATAAAACTTACCAATGCGATGCATAAAGCCAAGCCAATCATCTAGCCATTCCTTCCTTTTTATATCATCTGATAATTCATATAACTGAAAAAAACAATTTTACTAATAAAATAAATGCTTAAAATTTATAAAGCATAAAAATTAGAACAAAATTGAACTGAAATTTTTTAAACAATAAAAAAATCATTTAAAAAATACCGTAATAATGCGATAAATTCTAATAATGTTTAAAATTTTTCCTCTGTCTTTCAGACAAATTCTCATAAATACACTTTATAGCAAAGAGAAATCATTTACTTATCAATGGTTCATCACGATGACAAGTAATTGATATTTTTACTTATTAATCCAAGCATTTGCTGTTTTGATAACTAAATATTTTATTTCAAATAATTCATTTCACATCGATTATTTTTGCTCACCGTAATATTGAATTTTCAAACTATGATTACAGGCTTACAAAAATTTTTGTCAAAATTTTACAGTTCTAAAAAATTAAAATTTTACAGAAAAATTCACAAAGGCGATTGCATACAGAATAAATTTAATGATGTAAGTTTAATGTAACAATCATATTTATAATTTTAATATAATTATTTAATTAAGATTTTAGTGGCAAAAATCAATTATTCAATTTCAGTGGTTATTATTAAATGGTCATTTTTGTGACAAATTCAAAAAATAACAGATAAAGTAAGTAATAACTTTAAGCATAGGAAATGAATTAAATTATTGTTGAGAAATCAATCATTAATTTTATATTTCAAAGATTGATTTTATTAATAGGAATTCAATCATATATTAACAAAAAAAGAAAAAAACATTCGGTCATTAACTTTTCAAATTTTTGCTTGTCAGCTTAACTATTGTCAGGAGAAAAATTCTCAATTTCAAATTTATTACATTTGAAAAGGGAGATAAAAAAATAAAAAAAAAGAAAAGTATTTTTTGATGACTTCAAATTATTTGACCTCATCGTTTTTTTTTTTCTCTCTCTCTCTCCCTCTCTCTCTTTCTCTTCAAAAAATAACCTAAAAGTTTTGCTTAAATGTAATATTCATTTTCCTTTTTTTTTCCTAAAAGATACACCCATTATCTTAAGTGTACCCCAATAAGCTTATATAATTAATAAAAATTTTTCGAATTTTTAACAAAATGCATATTATTAACAAAAATTTGGTTTTTTTTCAAATTATAGATTTAGCTATATCAAAATAAATTATTTGTTTCTGATATTAGTTAGAGAGAAGTTTGCTTTTTCTTCCTCTAAAAATTATTCACATTATTTTTTTTTCTAATTGCTAATAATAATCGGAAATCTTCTTCATTTCGTCTAACATTTTCCTCTTTTTTTTTTCACGAAATCAGAAATAAAATTGAATCGATGAAATGAATTTTTAAATTAAAAATATGCACAACAATACTATTACTTCATCGAAATTGTTTGAATAAAAAAAGAAAATTGGATGATGACGGAGTTTTAAAATAACAACAGTTTGCATTTTATTTTCTTGTAACAAAAAAATTTAAATAAGAATTGATTTCAAATAAGAAATTTCAAGATATATTCCTGAATCGAAATTAAAAAAATTTCCCACACAACTAACTTAAAATGCAATAAAAAAAGAAAAGTTTAAAGAAAAAATGAAAAACTGAAACTTTTATAAATTAAAATTTTCATCTTTTCAATAAAATAAAATAAAATCATCGTTTTCTAATAAGAAAAAACAAAATATTTGCTCAAAACTAAACAAAAAATTAAAAAAAAAAAAAACTTTTTATCTTTGCTAAATTTCATATTGCATCTGTAACTGCAAATCAAAAAATTGAAAAATCAATCAAATATTTTTCTCATATTTTTATTTCTTTAAATTCCTTAATTTACAACATTATAAAATATTGTCGTATTTTTGAACTTCTTCCATATATCCACAGCTATATTTATCCCATCATTTCTTATCTCATATTCATATCTAAATCTGATTCATATGGGAATTAAATAACTCTGAACTTCAATCTAGAACTTCCTGGAACTCATTCATATGCAATTAATCTAAAACTATCTATAACTTCCTTTAACCTATCCCTCCTCTTCTTTCCTTTTTTTTTCCTAATCTTTCACTCCCTTTTTGCCTATCTCTTTTTCTCTCTCCCTTCCTCCCTCTCTCTCTCTCCTTCTACCCTTCTTAATATCTTTGTTTGATAGTTTATAATTCTCTATAAAAATGTAAAACTAATTCAAACTTATCTTCCACCTATCATTTCTTATTTTCTTTTTATTTATTTATTCAACCCAATGATTAACTACCATATTATATTCGAAATTACAGTATATTATATATAATTTAATATTTGCATTTTTTCAAAATTTCTTAAAAATAAGAAAATAATAGATAATTCTATTAATTTTTGTTCCGGAAAAGATAAATAACCGGAAAAAAACCAAGCTTTAACCGTAAAACTTAATATATCATTTTGCATACATGATAAGACGAATTAAGAAAAAAATATTTTTATGGAAATATGAAATGATTATAATAAATTTTTTCCATTATTATTTTGATAGCAAATAATTAAATTAGAAAGTGTGTTAAATTCATTGGTCTGAATGAAGATTTTTGAAAAATTTTCTAAAATCAAGTATAATGTAAATTATTTAATGACATTGAAAAAAACAGATGCAATTTTTCATAATTATTATTTGACGAAAATAAATTAAACAATAATTTATTTCATGCAAAAAATGCTAGTTAAATTATCTTTTGTAATATCTGGTTTTAATAACCATAAGCAATGCAATGTGATTAGTTGCATGCAAAAATTTCGTGTGATTTTCAAATTTATTTGAAAATTTGAAAATTTTTTTTTGTCACAATAATAATGCAAAAAAATGTATTAATTAATTTAAAAGTTCATAAACTTTTTGAAATAAAAGCTATAAACAGAATTAAAGATTGGAAAGACTGCTTCTGTAGATTTGAATAAATGTGGAAGAATATATCTGATTAGAAATAAATTCCGAATCTGCCTGAAGCAAATAAAACCGGAATATATCTTATCATAAATAAAGCCGGAAAAGTCTTCGACTGATTAAATTACTTAAATTTGAACTAAAGCTGTTTTGAAATAGATAGAGTGACATGTTGATTTAAAGAACATACATGAGTGGAAAGATGGCAACATGCCAGTTAACTTTATGCAATTCGTCTTTTTTCTTTATTTTTATTTTTTTACTTTTTTTCAAAAAAAAAAAAAAAAAAAAAGTAAAATAAGTAAAATTTAATTAATTTTATGAACAATATTATCCGTGCAGTTAGATTATTTCTGGAATAAATCTAATACTGATTAATATGTATAGAAAAACAATGAAATTCCTCCGTAATTAATTGAATTTAATTTCGAATTAAAATAATTTAATTATTTTGAAAATTAATTCCGATTAAATTTTCTACTAATTTTCAATAAATATGCTGTGAGAAGATGCATGTATGAGTGAGAATGCATTACGTATTTTTAAGTATAGAAACACGCAGAACCACGCCCATTACATTCGATTAAATGATACTGTAATGTTCGATTTTAAATTTAAAAATTAAAAAAAAAAAAGAATAAAATATTTTTATTTTTTAAAAAAATATTCTTAATCAATGATATTTTTATACCAAAAAAGTTTATTTTTGATAAATTATGATCAGAAATAACATTATATCAATTATCATCTAATAGCAAAACAGTACCAATTCAACTTCATTTTTAGATTAACCTTTAACCTTTACAAATAATTGCAGTGTTTTCATTAATCAAATGTGTAAGAAAATTCTAAAATTCACTATTCTGGCAAACTTTTTGTTTTTCCTTTTTTCCCTTTTTTTGTTGAAAAAAAAAAAGGAGAAAAACGTTCCAATAGATATACAAACTTTGATTTGTGTATATGAAAAAATTAACTTTGGAACGGATCGGTTTGTAACACAAAAATTAGTTCGAAATTGAAATTGAAACAGTTGTTCGCCGGTCGATTTACTTTTTTTTTTTTTTTTTTTCCAATTGCTCTTTTGTTAGACATTAAATTCTATCGCAATATTTTCTATTCGATTATTTTAGCGTTGTTTTAGATTGGATAAGAATGAAATTGAAAAGTTTAAAATAAGACAGAGAGAGAGAGAAAGTGGAAGAGAGAAGACTGAAATGATGATAAATTGCCTACATGATTTCTTTTCGACATAAACCTCAGGTTTAATCTCTATTTATTCAAATACACCTCAAATTTCTATCCAATATCCGTTCGTGTCTCTTTCTCTCTGTTCAAATTTCTTCTCTATTTCTAATTCAATTGTTCATATTACAAATATTTTTTTCCTTTTTTTTTTCTTTTTTGTCTTTTATTAAAACAAACAAAAATTTCGTTTTTCATCACTGACATCATCATCATCATCAATGGATTTTCGGTTCTAGTTTTTAGTCCGACTGACGAGATAAGAAGATTAATTTTTTCCTAGAAATTTTTCCTACTTTTTAGCTGTAAATTTTGAAATAAACAAATTTTTTGAAATTTTATCCACCACTCTTTAGTTTAAAGAACAGACTATGTATGAGTGAGATGTGATCGAATGGTTTTAATATTTTTCAAAGAAATCTGATTGAAGTTATATATGCATTATTATATATATATATTAAAATGTTTAATTTGATTGGTCATTGTTCAGAAATGTTCAAAATATAAATGATTTTTAAGATTATATAAATAGAAATTTTAAACTTTCTAACAATCAAAAAATTATATAATTAAAATAAATCATATATATATTTATTACATATAAATGTGATGTTTAAAAAAAAATATTTTCAGGTAACAAAAAAAAAAAAAAACTAATCACATTTCATTTAAAGATAAGAATGCTTCATTTTATTTTTTTTTTAACTTTTTCCTTCCTTATTGCTTAAACTGCTGTTGAATAATATAATGCACAACTGTTTAATCTAACAGGTACTGCCAGATGGACAGGCGGAAAAAGACAGATGAATAGATAAACTAAAAAGCGAATGGATTTCAACAAGATGAATACAAACTTCAGCAATTTTAAATTTAAAAAAAAAAAAAAAAAAAGAAGACTTTACGAAATTGAATATCTGAATTTATTAATGTCATTTGTATTTACACTTTTTTAGTCGATTGATTTATTATTTTTAAACATGTTATGAATGTTAATTTAATTTAATAGTTTAAGAATATGAATTCAAGATGTTCATAAAATTTGGTGAAAAGTGATAGGAAAATTTTTGTTTACTTGTTTAAATTGCTCTTCATATGACCAATTTTGTTGTCCACTAGCATCCGAATCCGCATTATCATCACCGATACTTCCGCCAGCTCCCGTAATGCATTCTTTTTTCTCTTTACGAAAGCTGAAAATCAAAAAAAATTTATACTTACCTCAAAAGCTGTTTATCTTCCAAAAAATTTAGCTGAAAGAAATTTTTTTTAAGAAAAAAAATACAGGAATAATAAATAAACAAATAAGAAGAAATGAAAGCAAATTATTTTTGATATTCTTGAGTAAGTTAATTTCATTAAAATTTATTATCATTATTATGAAAATGAAACTAGGAACAAAATTTACTTAATAGTTAAATCTTCTGGCTCGGTACTTGCTAACGCTTCATTCTCATCCTCATCATCTAGACCAGGTGACACACCGGAACTTCTCGGATTACCGTTAGCTGCCGCAAATTGATTATGTAAAGTTAAAGGATTTTGCTGTAGAGCAGCCAAAAATGGCGGAAAAACATTGATTGGAAATGTTGACCGAAATCTGAGATCTACAAATATCACCAAAACTAGGCTCATTAGCTATTTTTTTTCCTATAGATTAATATTTTAAAAAAAGTGTTAAAAATAAAATGACAACAAAAAGTGGGAAACTATTTTTATCGTTAAATTATCAATTAAATGAAATAGATTTGTGGAAAAAGTTAAAAATGAATGAGATGCAAATTTGTTTTGAAAATACACAAAATGAATCTATGCATTAAGCTATTCAAATTTAATTTATGTCATCAAAAATTTGTCAAAGAAATATAATTGAATAGTACCGTTTAATGAGGAAGTAAACCTTTGAAAGGCTTTTTGTTGAACTTCAAGCTCACGTTCTAACATCGAATTTGCATCATCATCAGTTACTGGTGAATTTCCACTTTTAATCTAAACTTTCTAAAAATTATGATGGGAAAAATAGCAGAGAAACTTTTTTCTTGTATTAAACTAAATTTCAATTTAATGTTAATTAAAAAATCAAAATTTATTAAATTACATTAATATTCAAATAATTAAAAAAGTCTGAAAACTTGATTTAAAAAGAAAAGGCTTAAAAGAAGTTGTGGAACAAAAAATACTTTTTCATATTTTCTGATTTATGAAATTGATAGAAATTTGATGATAATTTTAGGATATCATATAGTTTTAATATGAATGATTATCGTATAATTACATTTCTTTTTTTTCTTTTCTTTCTTTTGAAATAAGATTATTTGCCTGATTATATGGTAGACGAATAATGACTCTTATTTGTAATAGAAAAACAGATAACTCGAATAATTACATCATTATTTTTTGAAGCATTTAGGATAGTCGATAGATTGGTACTTAAGTCAGATTGTAGGATACCGGATTGTTCCGATACATTTTGTAATGGCGGTGTTGATGAAGCGCTACAAGATAATTGCATCTGTAACGCATGTTGTGATTGCTCCAATGATTTATCAGAGTTTAAATCAGCTCCGGATGCTGACGATACTGATACCGGTGTTGTTTCCATTGCTATCGACATATCGGAGCATTCAAATTATTTTACCTAAAAATTTCTAATAAATTATAAATATTCAAATTTTTCCATCCATATTCTCTTTGTTGTTCGAGAAAATTTCAAATGTTATGACATTTTAAGTTAACAAAAAAATAAATAAATAGACAAATATGTTAAGATTTTTGACAGTTTAAAATGATTATTATTGTAATTAGTAATTAGTTAATTCTAAGTTATCAATAACTTTCATAGCTTTTCAGTTTTTCTTTTCTCTTTTTCATTTTTTTTTTCATCTTTTTTTCTTTTTAAATGAAATATAATTTTAGAAAAACCATTGATAATAGTAATACAGTATGCCACACTGATAAAAACTTCAAAGTGTACTAAAATGGCCAATAATTGATAGTTTATCACATTTTAGAATAATGATTCATTCAGATATGTTAAAGAAATATCAGTGATGATTAGAATGAATATATGATCAACGGAATGATAATAGTGATTTGTAGTGGAGGGGGGAGGGAGTAGCAGGAATGACTGAATGGACCGATCAACGGATACGGACGACAACCAGTCCTGCTCAGACAGTTGATTGGTCGGATACTTGGGGTGGAGCCTTCTCTTTTATCCGGCATCTCTCTCTATCAGAATGATCAGATCGAACCAGCCGCTATTAGAAATCTTTATTACTACCAAAACTGTTCCGGAAAACTGAAAAATGATGGATGGATGAGTATGAAGATTGTCATATATCATTATCACTGACATTATCAGTATAATCATTATCACTTTGCAATAATTATAATAATTTCGTTATTACCAGCATTATCATTATCATTGTAATCATTATTAGTAATAATTGTGATAATGATGAATAAAGATATGATGAGGATAATGGATTAATGTGAAAATGACAACAATTACAATTATTATTTTAGCTAATTTTTAAAATGTTTGTATTAAATTGTAAATAGCTTAAATTGCAGAATTTCCTTTTTCTGCAACGATAACAATCACAAGAATGATAATAATAATAATAATAATAATAATATTAATATTAATGTTATTATTTGGTATTATTATAACTATTATTGTTAGTAATAATAATAGTAATTAATAAGAGCAATGGCTATAGTGATAACCAATGTGTAATGATTGCAATAACAAAATATAAAATTAAATTAATTAACTGAAAGATCAAAGCATGGTGATATCAATTATATGATAAGTGATAATAAATCTGTGAAGCAAAATGATTATTATAATTGTTACTAAGATAATAGTAATGTTTATTTGAAAGATTTGCAAGTTTACTCGTAAAAGTTTCTTTAATGACAATTGCTTAGAGAAAATGGTTTAAATCAAAAAAAAAAAGATAAAAAGGAAAGAAAAAAAGTTTTTTTGTTATGTGATATGGCTAAAGATAATAATGATATATGATAAAGCTGTTAGTTCTAATTGCATTGCTACACTTTTATATTTGATTAGATTTCAGCTGAAAAATAAGAAAATTTTCTCAATTTAAAATTTAAGAATTAAATGATTTAAATTGGTTTGTTTGTGATTCGTTTTGTAGGACAGAATCACAAACTTAATGTTAGTAAGATAAATTGAAATTTTAATAAAAATAAGTTATCATTTTAAAATTTACATACTAATTGCTACGACTAAAATAACAGCTAACTTAACAAATGCCAATTTTGAAATATTGCATATTGACCATTTGACAGATTTAAAGAGCGTATATTCCTTAAAATCTGATCAAATATTATTTACATCTGATAATAGAAGAGAAGAAGAAAATAAAGAAAAAATTTCTGAATTACTATAAATAATCATAAATTAAATTAAGTATGAACATAGTAAATATAATTCAAATGATTTTCATGCCGATTTTTGTTAGAAATTTCTTGAAATCATCCAGAAAATAATATTTTGTAACAAATATTTTGACAAAAATTATCTGAAAATTGGAAACAAAAATTTTAGATTTTACAACAACCCAGAAGAAAAATTTTATAAATAATACAAATATAGCGAGCGATAGTGAAATGATTAATTATCAAATCAAAATATTGTTATTGAATTAAAAAAAACTGGAAAAAATGAAGAGAAAAAAAATGAATTGACAATGGGACTAAAATTCATTTTAAGTTAAGTTATTATTTATTAATTTAAAATAGTTGAAAATTAAGAACAAATTGAAGACAATAATGAAATAAATAAAAAACTTTTTGAATAAAAATTTTGCTAATAATTATGTTCTATTTCTATTTTAAATTAGAAAGATAACAAACATTAAAATGTTCTATCATATTTTGTTCAACGTTTCATTTAAATTAATTTAATATTCGATTTAATTAATGTTTCGCTTGCTAAATGTAAATAATAATCAGAAAATCGATTTATTAATTCAGGAATAGTTCGAGAGAAAAATAATTTGGTTGACCTAATTACAAGTTATTCAGTAATCAAAAATGCTAACTAATAAAAATTAAACTATTTAAAACTGAGTAATAATTTCATTTGATATTTTAATGGACTATAATTTAAATTGCCAAAGTTCAATACTCTTCTGGAAATTACAATCTGCTATTTTGCTGCTGTTATTCTTTCATACATCATTGAGAAACTATCTTGTTCAATTTAATTAGCTTTCAATTAAATTTACCATTTCTATAGTATTTCAATTTTTAAACTTTATACTATCCTATTGCTAATTAGATGTATTTTTCCGAATATAAATTATCGATTAATCTATAATCGTTAATAGCTATTGCAAAATGTTTACCAGAAATATAATGCGTTGGGAATAAATAAGAATCAATTAAATTCATAAAATTAATTAATCAATCAATTAATTATGATCCTAGGATAAGAATTAATAAAGAGTTTAAAGTTACACAAAAATGTTAGTTTAGAAGATGATTAATTAATAATATTTAATTATGATTATTTAGTTAAATGTAAAAAAATATTTTACGTAATCAAATAAAATAAAATAAAATACAAACCATATTGAGGTTTGAAAGGATAAATAACAAATGGAGGAAACATTTTCAAGGGTTTTCCATTCCCGGAAGAAAAGTATAAGCAAAAGCATCATAAGGGAGCCATAATTCGATTGAAGCTGGATTATAACTGCCTTCTCATCCATAAGGACAATATGCGCGCATATTCCTTTTGTTTGCAAATGATAAATGTTTTATGGCTGCTAATAATAAAGGTCAAATCAAAGCTAAATGAAGTTAAATTAATAGCTAATATAATATTTATTTATTAGGCAAATAAAAAAAAATGAATTGTTTTTGAGGAAAAATATATTTGAAATAATAATTAGATTTTAATTAATTACAAAACTTTGTTAAATTTAATACTTTTTTTGTCTATTTTTTTCGTATTTTTGTTGTTTATTTCTTTATAATAAATGATGAATTTTATTATCTGCTAAATCATTGCCTTCGAACCATCTGGCTTTATATGTCATAAACTATGATTAAATAAATGTCTTCGTTGAATCAATCATGCAGCAATGAAATAAATTAAGCAAAAAAAAATTATTGTTATCATTTGATGATAATATTAATATAATATATTATTATCTTTGCTTAAGTGTAATTAGTTATTATTCATAATAAAATTTTTATAATTTAAACAAAAATTTTTGATAATTTTAATAAAAATTTTCAATAATCTGTTAAAAAAGTCTTTTTTTTTTTGTTTTTGTAAATAAAATATCATATGAAATGTTGAAATAATTATGATATCTTATTATTTTTTTGGTTAAATGAAAATAATTGTAAGCATATAAATGCATTAATGAAAATAATTTTAAATATAAAAATGAATAAATGAAAATAATTTTAAATATAGAAATGAATAAATGAAAATAATTTTAAATGAACATACATATATGACACACAAACACATACGCTGTGTCATTTATATTCATTCACCTTATAATTTCATCTGTAATTAACATGAATAAATTACTAGTGTATATTATATACAATTTCATTATGAAAATTTCATTATCAATTGATAAAGAGAGGAAAATAAATGAAATTGTACAAATCTTTTAAAATTATTTATATTTTTCTTAGATATTTTATAATTTAGTAATATTTATATTTGTTATTCAATTCCACTTCATAAATTAAATGCATTTTTCATTTTCATTTCAATTCTTCGTTCTTTTTTTTTCTTTTGTTCATGTTGAAAATTGTAAAATAAGTTAAATTAAACAATGCTAAGCACTAATTCATCATGATTAGCTCATTTTGATATATAGTTTTAAAGCACTGTTCAGACGTTTTTATTATTCTATTTAGCTAAATATGCTCAATACGTTGAATTCGTATTTCATAGCTATCAGACCATATCAGAATAACTAATCTATTTAATTAATTAAATAATTTCATGGTTAGTTAAACTATACTATATACTCTATTAATTAATAAGTAGTTTATTTTAACCCTTAGAGTAAACTAGTTTAATACAATTTTATGCTATGAAAAGAAAAAAATTTTTCCAATAGTGATAATGATAAATGATAATAATAAAAAAAGAAGCCATTATGGTTATAAAATGACTGCAGTAGTGATAATTTGATAGAAATGATGATAATCAAGATAATGATGACGATAAAATCAAATAATTATGATAATAACAATAGTAATATCAATAAATGATAATTATAATTATAACTGTGATAATAATATCGAGCAACGGTAATTATTTATGGTTCACATCTAAGAATAAAAGTAAAGAAAAGATAATTTTTGATATGATTGATTAACAATTTTGTCACGGGGAGAAATGTTATTACCCACCCGAAAGTCATATTTCTTTAATCACCGAATAATTTTAGCTCTTCCACTTTTATCCTTACCTACGATTATTATTATAATACAAGTATAGATAGTATGTATATGTATCACAGTACTACCACTATACTACTATTAATTGTTACTAATACTACAGCAATTTTGATTGTTGACAAGTTGACCGAAATGTTCAAATAG